TATCGATCTTATTCTGTTGAGCTATTTACCCCTACGGCCCCGACGATCCTGCAGCTGTATTGGTCAAAATACTGTATACCCAAGAAAAGCTAGGGGTCGTGTAACATCTTATTTGGGCATGACGACTTTCTGTTCTGTAAAGCTGATGGCTTAATATACACTACGAAATAAACAGTTACCATCACCGACAATGTTTACTGGCTTGTGGCCTATTCGAGCTAGTCAGGTGGTCAATACTGACATACTTGAAGTATTTACGGGACCTGGGTTTAACTCTATATCGATCACCAGACACAAATAAGAAATTTCTGTCAGATGTTTTTAATATTCTTTGCATTATACATTTACTAGTGCCCACAACTTTAAGTTTAACGCTGTTTGAATTAAACAATTTGTGTTTTCTAGTTCTAGTACGCTTTTGTACTGTTTTTCGGACTTGCCAAGTTGTGCATTAATTAATTGACATTGACAATAGTTTGCGGATAAATAGCTACGATCATTTGGTCATTCAGGCAAGCCAAATGGCTGTGGGGGGTTTTCCTTTATCCACAAATACGTCACAAGGCCAGACTTTTTAAAAAGGTCTTTTTTTATATACAACTATTCGTGTTCTCTTAGACTTAGCATGAAACGTACGGCTTCCTAAATTTCCACATATATGCGTTTGTTTGTTGCTGAATTACATCTTTTCGGTATCTTGTGGAAAGCAAATTGTGAAAGCAAGGTGATTTAGGAATAGACTGCCTAATAAATCGTTTTAGTATAAATTTTGCATATCAAATGAGCTTTCGCGCGTTCTGATTGGCTAGCTGACTAGTAAATCTGAGGCATTATTTACCACCTGGGTAGTAAATAATGCTTTTCAAAAAGAATGATTCGGCAAATTTGGTTTCAAAATCGACAAAATATTGAAAAAATCGTCCCCAGAAAACGAAAGAAGCACAAAATGTTGTATTTAACTAATTGAAAGGTAAGGTTCCTTTATTATTTTACTGTGTCAAACATATTCACGGACAATTTAAAACTTATTTAATAAAAAACTCCGAAACATTCACTTCAAACAAATAGCAAAAACCATCCCGACTTTTGGGAAAAACCTTGCCGTGATATTCTTTAAAATCCATTTTATTTTGTACGCTATAGATTTCCCAATTTGTACGATACTATTTCTTTTGATATGTCATGTTTTCATTGTGCTGTATGGTGTTCTGACAATCTGACCGCTGTATTGTGTTTTCGAAACTTGTAAAGTAAAAAGTGTTATTAAAAGTTTATTTCGAACGATATAATTTTACATTTCATTTTACCAAATTCCTCAGCCATTTCCTGAAGAAATTAATACTAAACAGAAACTATTTTTAATTCTAAGTCTGGTGAAAGAGTCATTCCGTTATTGTGTTTATATTCCAAGCAGAAATCGAGAAAAACAACTTTGTAATAAAGCGATAAAGTCACACAAGAAGCCATTTTGAAAGCGTGTGCATACAAGAAACACTGCAACACTATTAGTGAACAGGCCGAAAACAGTTTTATTCCTGAAATTTAATTGAACTGATATTCGGATATTTTGTTTTATTCATTAAAAATTTATACTAAAACAATTATTCGCCTCAGGCTCAGTGATTACGGTGAATATTCACCTCGACTTCGTCTCGGTGAATATTCACCGGTAATCACTTCGCCTTCGGCGAATAATTGTTAATTATTACACGCGCCTACTTTTTCTATTTTTGCTCGCTAAAATAAACTTTTTAACGGGAATTCTAGACGACTCTCGATCTCGACTTTCGCCGTGTTAAATGTTTACTACGTGATCTATTTCTACTAAAATTATTATATGGACGAGTATAGAAGGGTAATACTTCATTCACTATACTAGTTGCATGTGTCTTGTTGTATTTTGCTTTTTGGTAATGCTGTTGAGTTTTGTTTCTTTGTTTCTGTACTAAGATTGTGACAAGTTTCAGAATAACAAGTCTCATTGACCTTTGACTTATTCCCAAGGCCACGATGTATTAAAAAATGTCACTTTAGATTTCAATAGTTTCACAGTTATACAGTAGCAGTGTTTATTGTAGTTTCGACAAGCTTTGATACAGATAAATTCTCGTAAGATCTGGTAGAGTTCTCTTTGCACTGAACATGATTTTGCACCGTTGTGTTAGACCCGTGAACAAGGACCCTACACACGTAAAAATCTCACAACTTGTCCACAAGATGTGTTCGCAACAGGCTTGTGGCATGCAAGCTTGTCAACAAGTTGCAACAATGTTGTTATTTTATCAACTCACGCACAACTTGTTGACAAAATGTTGAACTGCAGGACGATAGTAAGTTGTTAGAACAACTGTAACAAGTCTGTTGAGCTCAACAACCTTGTAGCAAGTTGTGAACAAGCCGTTGACAACTTGTTATTTAACAAACTGGGAACAAGCAGTGCGAACACATCCTGTTAACAAGTTGTTGGAACAGCGTTGGTATAAGTCTGCTGCAGGTTTGTTGCAACTTGTGCGTTTTTACGTGTGTACTCTCTGAACCCTATAATCATTTCCATATTTAGAGAGCCAAACACGCAATGAATCAATCATGCTTGACACGTGCTGTATGTGTAGTTTCAGCAATTCAGCACAGAGTATTACAGGCTTCAGTGGTTTCAGTGTAATGTGTGTAGCCATCTGTTATGTGGTGTAGCACCTTTAATAATATACAGTCGCTGTATAATGAATATACCGTAAAAATAATATCGGCATTTAATTGAATGCCCGTAAAGCATAACATCAATTTATATATTGCGTAGATACTCAAAGATTATACTCAATATTCATGTCTGAAATGTTTATACATTTGAAAACAACACAGTGTATTAAACACTATATGTTGCTCCTTTCTAGCACTTTACACTAACTAGGGATCCATGGATAGTGTGAAGTTTCAAATTGAAAAAGACACTGCAAGAACTATATAGGGTCGCCGACAACCTAGAAAAGCTGATGACTTACGCTACGAAATAAACAGTTACCAAAGGCATTTCATCTCATTATTTATTGCTTTTAATACGCTCGGCACACAAGTAGCGTGACGTTTGAAACAAGCCTAACACATCAGAAACTTGCCTTGTGAAACTGATGCAATTTATCTATTTATTGTGATGCTACACGCGACAATTCGAAATTTAAATTGTTTTACCAACAACCAAATTTTGCATATTCTAAATTTTCATTTGCATTTGCAGCTGTCGCTAAAAGCATCCCCACAAGGCTACTGCTATGCTAAATTTATCTAAAACTATAATTGAAATAGCTGTATAAGATATGTTATGAATAATAAGCACTACGTCGTTACATCATTAAAAGGACGCGTTTTATCCTCATCCATTCCGTATTTTATCCGCATATCCGTTCCGTGGATCCGCTTCATCCGCTTCCGCATTTTAACCTAATTGTGACATGTTTTACAATAACAAGTCTCATTGACCTTTGACTTTTCCCAGTGTCGCGTCTATTTTCAGCTTTTCGCATGTGTTGAATATAAATGTCACTTTAAATTTCAATAGTTTCACAGTTAAGCAGTGTTTAAAGCAGTTTTGACAAGCTTTGATACAGTTCTGTGTACAGAATACTACAGATTGATTCTCGTACGATCTGGTAGAGTTATCGTTGAACTGTACACGAATTTGCACCGTTGACAACGGCGTTGTGCTAGACAGTAAACAAAGGTCAAAGACAAGGTCCGTGACGGTACACGTTGGCTACATGTACCTCCTTGCTTTTTTCTTCTATTGCATAAAGCTTGTTGGCGAGCCAAGCGATTGACGATAACACGTTGGCGATAACACATTCGCTATCTCCTCGTCTTTCTTATTTAAATAAGGAGCTCTGACTCAACTGATTTCTTTAGTAGTCTCGCAAGTTATTTTCTTCGTAAACGCCGTACAAACGTTTACCCGCTTCTGTTTAATAGTTGTTTATGCTTTATTGATCTGATACAGATCTGATGCAATTTTTCGCTTTTTGTACTGAGTGTAGCCATCTATTATGTGATGTAGCACCTTATACAGTCAATGACAATGTATAATGAATACACGGTCTAAATACTATCGATGGGCACTTACCTGAATGCCAGTAATGCATAACATAAATTTACATATTGTATTATTGCGTAGAATCTCAAAGATTTTCTCAATATTCATGTCTGAAATGTTTATATAAGCTTGAAAACAACACTGTCTCGCTTCTGCCCACGTACTGTACCTCTGTATAATGAGTATGCCGTGAAAATAATATCGGCACTCAATTGAATGCCTAGAATGTCAAAGATTTTCGACTCAATATTTACGTCTGAAATGTTTATACACTTGACTGCACTGTCTAGGCGGTCTAGCTCCTTCCTAGCTCTGTATAATGAATATACCGTCTAAATATTATCGGCACTTAATTGGACGCCCGTAATGCATAAGATAAATTTGTATTTTGCGTAGATTTTCAAAGATTTACTCAATATTCACGTCTGAAATGTTTATACATCTGAAAACAGCGCTGTCACTCCTTCCTAGCATATCGTCACGCCATCGTGATCTAAGGCTTGATAGCGCATGCGCATTTGCGCTACTAAAGAAAAAATCGGGTGTTCCGGGGTAAAGATCCTTTACACAATATGAGAAGCGAATGTTCTAAAATTCACAAAAAATTACAATAACGAAAGCGACTCCTCGAAATTTTTGTGAACTTGGCAAAAGGATAACAGAATATGTAAATAAGTTAACTGAAATTGCCTCAATAACTTTCAAAGTACTGACTAAGTAAAGATTTTAAACTCACTCACTCACTGACCGACCGACCGACCGACTGACTGACTCGTGTGAATTTGCCAGCCATCACAATAGTGTGAAGTGTAACTTCACACTAAAAAGGGACCACTCAAAATGCAATCCATCTAATTTCGACAAATTACCCTAGAGCCAATTATGTGGAAAGTTCTGACCTCATATTTTCAGATTCAAAATGGCGGATAGTCATGGCCTGCAAGGCTCCGCCAATACCAGAAGTAATAGCCGTATTTTGGCTGAGTCTTTATCTCGTGTAGTGGAATTGAATGAAGAAAGTGGTTCTATGATGGAATCTGACTTATCGGAGTTGAATACATCGTGTGTAGACCGAGATATTGGCGAAGGTGTCGGAGGGGATTTGGCTTCAAAATCCGACGAGGCATACGAGGATTTTCTGAAGGCTATTAAAGCTGGAAGTACTGAGGTAACAGAGATATTGAAATACGTAAGCATTATAGAAAGAGATATTCTAGATACCTCAACTGAGGAAGTTAAACAAAAACTATTAAAGTACAGTTCGATCAGTCTAAATGGTATCAGGACAGGTATAATTGAGCTTTGTAAACATAAGTTTTCTCAATTTCCAAAGAGTAAACCATTCCGGCGATTAAACAGACAGGGAGGGCGTCCTGCAACCGAGAAATTAGCAACGGATATACTTAATCTGGTGAAATTTTGTAGTTCAGGCGAGGTGACAAGTGAAATAAATGATATATTTCCGAAACCGCCATCTCAGGGTGTACAATCTTTCTTGAATGTTATGGCCGAAAATGCAGATGAATTTCAAAACTTAATTAATCCTAAGTGCAGCCAAGACGAACGAGAGCGATTCTCGTCGCTTTTAGAAAAGCTAGACGAGAATTATTATCAACTAAAAGACGATTTTGATCAGGCTATGATAAGCATGAAGCAGGAAATTACTGATTTAAAAAAAAATATGTGCGATAAAGAAGTTAAAATTTCGACTTTAAAGGAACAGTGCGCCGAGTTGAAAGCAAGCATTTCCGAAAGGGACACTAAAATCTGCTCACTAGAGTCCGAAATAGCTACTTTTAAAGCAAATTATAAACTGGAAAAACAGATCGTGACTGACAATTTAATGAGTCAGAATTTGAAATTGGCAGATAAGCATGAAACTTTGGCCAAACTTGAGGAAAAATCTAACAAATGTTTTAAAGAAATCGAAAAGCTAAAAAAACAACTATCTACAAACAAAAGGTTATATGAGCCAGAAAACACAGGAGATTCGAGTCATACATTGTTTACCATTAATGAGCATTCGCCTAATTCGTGGGCGAAGCAGGGAAACAAAGAAAGCCAATCTTCCGTATCAAATGCAAAACCAAATGCGAATACTGATCAAAGTAACAAGCCCCTCGTCAACACAGAACAAAACATTAACCCGGGCAATCAATCAGAACAGTCAATAATTCAAAATAAGGAAACAAATGACAAAGCCAATGCAGAAACTCCTGCAATAGACAAAACCGCTACTGGGGTTAATTTAAACGAAAATGAGAGTTCAGATTTCGTCGGGGTACAAAGAAAAAAAATAAAACGGCTATATCTCGGAGGCGTGCGTCTGGGCACAACCATAGAAAAAATTAAAGAATACATGAAGCAAAAAGGCATTTCGCCAACGTTTATTCGAATTTTTAACAGCAAAAGAAAAGGCACAATTGCTGTCCGAGTTAACGTTAACGAGGAAGATTTTGATTGTGTATGTAACAATGACTTTTGGCCAAATCATGTCTATGCTAGGCAGTGGATGTCAAAACAAAGTTGGGAAAAAAGAGGTTTATTACATAACCAAAATACGAGCCAACAAAACTAAATTTGGGTTGCTGGAATTGCGGTGGAATATATGGCAATTTTATTTATGCAAGAAAACTCTTGCAGAAATTAGACGTGTTAGCTTTAAGTGAACATTGGCTGTACAAAGATGAATTGTCATTTCTAGACAGTCTCAATGATAATTTTAGTGTTATTTCGTGTACAAGTTCGGATAATAACATCAGGGAAAGGTGGAAAAGAGGTCAAGGTGGCGTTGCTTTGTTCTTAAAGAAAAACCTTAAAGTCCGAGAAATACAAACAGTGTCTGATCGATTGGCATCAGTGTCATTGAAGATTGAGAATATTAATTTTGTTATTGTAGCAGTATATTTGCCTTCAAGAAACAATGATCTAAAAGAATACATGAAAACTTTAGATACATTGGAACAGTTTTGCGTACGTCACAAGTCATGCGGAACAAAGTTGTTACTGCTAGGTGATTTTAATGCACACATCAAGGAAGATAAGCTAAGCCAAGATTGGAATAATAGAGGCAAAAGATTACAAACATTTCTGAGTAAAATGAACCTGGTCGCAGTTAATTTGTCTCCATGGTGCGAGAACCCCCAGTTTACATACCTCTCAAATACGGGAAATTCCATCGTAGACTACATTTTTGTCGGAAACGACGTAATCGAGTATGTTGACTTAGTGCAAGTACTTGAAGAGCACCCAGACAACATAGCATTTCATTTACCAGTAACTATTAGTATAAATTTACACTCGGATGTGACGAAAGAAGAAACCAGCAATGATAACATGAGTTATTTATTTGAAAAGATATCGTGGAAAAGCTGCACTACGGAACAACTTCAAAGCTACAATCAAAAACTGGTTAACTCGGCAACTGATCTGCTGAGCAAAGATTTTTCGGACATTAACAATTTTTATGAAGAGCTGAGTAATTTAATAAATAGTGCGGCAATGGTCCTACCACGGGTTCAATATAAGAAACATATAAAACCGTACTGGAATAACTGTCTTAAAGAAGCGAAACGTTCCGTTATGGCTGCGAGGGCAAAATGGAAAAAAGAGGGATCCCCGAGGGCCTCAGAAAACGTTTATTATAGACAATATAAGAAAGCTAAGACTGCATATAGGAAGGCACAACGTAGAGCTGTTTGGGAATACGAAAGAAAAGAATTCGATGACATAGCCAATTCTATAGAGTTAGATCACGAGACGTTTTGGAAACTGATTAAAACCAAAGTACGTAGGAAAAAGAAAAAACAAAAGGTGGTGGCTTTAGAGGTGGACAATGCTGTGCTTACGAACCCCCAAGTAGTTGCAGATCTCTGGGCAAACTATTACGAGAAGTTAGCTACCCCTCCGGAACATGTGGACCAAGAAGAGATGAAAAGTAAAGTTGATGAAATTTTAAAGAACTCGGAGGGCATGTATGACTATACATTTAATTCTTCTATAACAGCGGAGGAAATCACTTCAGTAATTAATACTCTTCCTAAGGGAAAATCACCCGGTATAGATGGAATTACATATGAACATATTAAATATAGAGGTGAAATTATCGTAGAACTGCTACTGAAATTGTTTGGTTATATTATCGAGCTTGAAGAGATTCCAAAGTCCTTCAAAATGGCGATTAAGATCCCTATTCCTAAAGGCAATAAAACTTCACGAACTTTTGACGATCACAGAGGAATCAGTTTGTTGCCTTGCATAAATAAAATGCTTGAGAGAATTGTATTATCACGACTGCAGAAGGAAGAAAAGTACTCTCACCAACCTCTTCAGGGTGGTTACCAAAGAGAACAGGACGCCCTAACAACGTGTTTCGTCATCGATGAAGTAGTAAATCATTGTCGCGAAGAAAAAGAAAAAGTTTACGTAGCGTATATGGATATTACAAAAGCGTTTGATACTATGTGGATTGAGGCAATGTTATTTAAACTGCACTACAACAAAGGAATTGCGGGAAAAACATGGAGGCTTATTAAAAACTGGTATATAGACATGAAAGAGTTCGTGTTTATCGGAGGAAAAGTATCACGTACTTACAATCTTTATCAGGGTACACGTCAAGGGGGAGTGCTATCACCTTGGCTCTTCCTTGTTTTTATTGACGATCTAATTGAGGAGTTAAAAAACACTAAAGCAGGAATTTTCCTAGGTTCACTATATTTTGGCTCACCCATGTTTGCAGATGATTTAACAATGTTATCGCGCCTGAAATCCGGGTTAGACAGGATGCTAAAGACTGCATGGGAATACAGCCAAAAATGGAGATTTAATTTTAGTGTTACGAAAACAGTTATATTAATATTTGGAGAGAGCCAGCAAGAACACGAAGCAAACAATAGGTCGAGAGCTTGGAAACTTGGTTCCCAGATTTTATCTGAAAAGGGGTCGTGGTCAAATCTCGGAAAACTTTGGCTTGCAAATAGAGACAGTAAGGAAATCGTTTCAAAAGCAACATGTGCGGGTAGAGAAGTCTGTTTTATGTTGATGGCTGTTGGTACTCGCTACGGAGGATTAAATCCTATGACTATTATTAACCGGATTTGTGCCAGACATTGTTGAAATTCTCGCAAAGTACGACCTTTTGCAAGTTTTAATCACTTATATTCTCACAAATGATTTCCCTATAAAAACTCTGTGGAAAAAGACTGTCAATAAACATGTTCGAGAGCAATATGATCGTGTTTGGCGAGAAAAGATTAGTAAGAACAATCAACTATATCTCTACTCTAAGGTTCATACAAAGAATGAAGTTTCTCATTGGTGGATAATAGCAAGAAAGAATCCATCCTTCATGAAGGAGATTAATAACGTCATAAGACTAATTTGTGGCTCATACAAGGTCAGGGGGAAGCGTGTGGATCATCCTAATACGTACATTGACTATTGTGACTCATGCAGTCGTAACTATTTAAATCCTGTTAATCATGCTCTGCTTTATTGCTTAGGTTCGCAAAACGAGCGTAAACTATTGTGGGACTGGGTAAACGATAATCTTCCTTTAGAGGTTGCTGTTTATTTAGCAACATTATCGGACACGGATTTTATGCTTACTCTTTTAGGCTTACAATCAGAAACTTTATGCTTAGATATGGAACTGTGGACGTTATATTTGTTGCAATCTGCATGTTATATTTCATCTTGTTTTCAAACTAGTGTAATTTCAATTTAAGTAGTTAGTTAATTAGTTAGTCAGCTTTATTTGTATGTATAAGTATGTATGTGTGTGTATATGTGTATTGATATATACTTTCTTGTAAAATACTCTTCAGAAATTGGAGGTAATAAAGATTTTAAACTCACTCACTCACTGACCGACCGACCGACCGACTGACTGACTGACTGACTCGTGTGAATTTGCCAGCCATCACAATAGTGTGAAGTGTAACTTCACACTAAAAAGGGACCACTCAAAATGCAATCCATCTAATTTCGACAAATTACCCTAGAGCCAGTTATGTGGAAAGTTCTGACCTCATTGCTAAGGAATCAGTCGTTCGTGAGTTACAAACATATTAGGGACCTTTAGTTAGCAGGACGGCGACGGCTATTAACACAATGAAATTTATGACAGTGTAGAAAGAAAATGCATAGTTAAAGGTCCCTTGGGAGTTTTAGACGTCGTCTTTGCTCTGTTTACAACAGCAAAACAAAGATTTTCACGTTTTGTATACAACGTCTGCCTTTCAAGCCGCGAGAAGTCGTCCTCGCCAAATTGGCTTAGTATAGAAGTCTTCTCAACTATAAACCTCTTAACTTAAATTGCAATAAATTCATACAACGGATGATACAAAACATGTTGATCTTAAAGTTACTAATTTGAACGAGTTTGTGTTGGCCGTCGTCGTCGCGTTGCCGTCACCTATTTGCTAAAGGTCCCTTTAGAAACCAACAACCGGAAGGGCTTTTGGCGAGGTACAATGGAACATACCGAACTTTTAAGTTACCGGCTGAACCATGCCCGCAACAAACTCAGAGATCCCAAGGGTAGTGCAAAGTTGATATGACAAATGATAATTAAGATTTATGTTGATTCGCATAATGATTAATGTATGAACTGATGATGGATCTATAAGGATGATAAAAACCAACCCCTATTCTTTTTGAAGCCGACGAGAACGGTCAGTGGCCATCGGGCTTGGAAGTATCAGATACATTGCTTACGGTGAAGGGGGGCAAATCTAGTAGAGTTGAAATTGAAGTACGCAATACGACAAGGCATAATATTCAGCTTAGGGGTCGTACAGTTCTTGGTCGCCTCCAACTTGTTCAGTCAGTGGTCCCGATAGATGTCAAATTAAAGGACAATCCATGTGACACTGTACTATCCGATAAAAACAGTGAATCACGTGCTTGCAAGAGCAGCACAATACAAGATAATTCACCAGTGAATTTACCAGAACACCTGAAAGATTTAGATCTAGGCGGCTTGACGGAGGAACAGAGAAACCTGGCGTCAAAACTGCTGGTTGAACAAGCTGATGCGTTTGCTAAGGACGATGATGACGTTGGTCATATCCCTAATCTGCAAATGAACATTCGGCTGAATGATACTAAACCTGTCCAAAAGAACTACGTTGCCGTGCCTCGACCTCTCTACCCGGAGGTGAAGGCATACATTGAAGACCTCCTAAATCGAAATTTTATTCGTAAGTCCAATTCACCATACAGCTCACCCGTAGTTTGTGTGAGGAAAAAAGACCAAACTTTAAGACTGTGTGTTGATTATCGCGAACTGAACAGGAAAACGCAGATAGATCGTCACCCCATCCCGAGAATTCAGGAAACTCTTGACAATCTTGGAGGGAATTCTTGGTTCTCCGTACTTGACCAAGGGAAAGCTTACCACCAAGGATTTCTGAAACCCGAAAGTCAACCCCTCACAGCATTCATCACACCTTGGGGATTGTACGAGTGTGTCCGCATCCCACTTGGCCTTTCCAACGCCCCAGCTTCTTTTCAGCGTTTTATGGAGTCGTGTTTAGGTGACCTCCGAGATGAAATCTGTATTCCATACCTTGATGATATCATAGTTTTCAGTTCTAATTTTAACGACCATATTGAACACTTACGAAAAGTCTTTCAATGTCTTAAGGAACATGGTGTTAAATTAAAACCCAAAAAGTGCAATATGTTTAAGAGAGAAGTTGTTTTCATGGGGCGAGTAGTCTCTGGCGAAGGGTACAAACTTGACCCCTCAACTATTGCCCCAATTCTACGCCTCAAAGATACACCACCTAAGACAGTGAACGAAGTTCGAAAGTTAATGGGATTTTTGAACTATTATCAGCGGTATATTGCCAATTTCTCAAGGATTGCCAAGCCGATTTACGATCTCGTGAAGGTGTCGGAAAATGACTTGAAGAACAAGCGTGGTAAACCAGTGGCTAACCATCCAGTTTCGGGGACGTCGACTCATCAATCGGTGTTGGAAGAATTTATTGAATGTCTTGTGAGTGCTCCAGTCATGGCATATCCAGACCCTCACAGCCCATATGTCCTTCACACGGATGGATCAGAGAATGGACTAGGAGCAGTACTTTACCAAGAGCAGGATGATGTCTTACGTGTTATTGCTTACGGTTCACGAACCCTAACACCGGCAGAGAAAAACTACCACC